GGTGGTGATTTTTTGCTTTCTGTCTTCACTTTCTGTCTTTCTAGTGAGTGCACACGCCCTATAGAAAAACCCTCTAAAAAAAAAAAAAAAAAGAAAGAAATGAGTTTACCAAACAAAAGGCTGTATCTTGAGAAATGACTGCATAAATTACCTTTCGTAAAATGTATATGACCTTTAGATATTTTTTTTTAGTAGCTATAAGTTTTATGTAAGTTTTATCAAATGACTACCATGAAGCCTTATACATAATCCTAGTCAAATCATCAGCTCTGATATTATCTGAGAATCTTTTACTGAATACCTTAAGACATGACACTTGAACCTCATGCATTAGATATTTTCTTCCAAATATTTTTGTTCTTGGTATACTGTAAGATTAAGTTTATCTTCACTGACATTTATATAACTCAGAAATTTTTATATTTAAAATATGTGTAAAAGATATACAGAAATATTCTGAGAATAAAGTCCCAGCAGAGAGACAAGATAATACAAATGTTCCAGGAGCACATGCAAAGTGCTGCAAGAACAGGCAGCAAAGTGATTTAATCCTAAGGAGAAAAGAGTTTTTTTCAAGTCTAGAGGCTACCAAGTGTTCATTTATCAAATTCCAAAACTGCCATATTTTCAAATTTTTCTTCTCTTTTCAGGAGGCTCACTTTGTCCAGTCCCAACTATTGATTATCTTAAAGTAGTCTAGGATATGTGGTAACACACAATTTTTTATTTCATATAAACCAAACCTATATATCTGCTATTACAAGCAAAGTTGTAAAGTTCTGACCATTATACACTAAGGATGCAGACTCACAATAATTAAATGCAACTGCGAATCTGCTAAATGAAGGTAAATAAAAGAACAAAATTTTTTTTTAAAGTTCAAGGGACCAGCAAGTAATGTAGTGCTTAACGTGCTGGACTCCTACGTAGCTGACCACAGTTCGAGTCCCCAACTCAGCAGTTTGAAACTCATGACAGACATGTGTGCGTGTGTGCTCAAAATCCCAAGAGGAAAATGGAGGAGAAGGGACTACAGCATGGCCATCCCCTCTGGGGTATGTGTGTGTGTGTGTGTGTGTGTGTGTGTGTGTGTGAGATTTCTTGCTTTCTGTCTCTGTCTCTCTGGTGAGTGCACATACTCGATAGCAAAACTCTTTTAAAAAGGTTCAATTCATCTGCCCATTCACTTAAGAGCCCCTTTTAAGATTTATTGCATACCTGCTGCAAAGGCCATTAGGAAACCCTTACTGAGAGTTTGACAAGAGTAGACAAGTATGAAACAGAGTTGAAAGAAAAAAAAAAAACAGGAATTAGAAGTTTCCTCCTCATTCCAAAGTAACAAAACTATCCCAGGCAAATGCTGAAAGCTTTGAAAAATACGTAAAAAGTGGGACCAGCAGTTAGTGTAATGGCTATGTTGCTGAACTCCCATGTAGTTGACTGTGGTTCGAGTCCTGGACACAGTGGCTTAAACTCACACCAGGCGCGTGTGCATGCGTGCCCAAGATCCCGAGAGGAGAATGGAGGAGAAGGGATTGTGGCGTGGCCATTCCCCCTGGAGGGTGATTTCTAGCTTTCTCTCTCCCTGTCTCTCTTTCTTTTTGGTGAGCACACCGCCCTATAGCAAATCTCTCTCAAAAAAAAAAAAGGAAAAGAAGGGAACCAGCAGTTAGCGTAATGGCTATGTCGCTGGACTCCCACGTAGTCGACCGCAGTTCGTGTCCCGACCTGGTGGCTTAAAACTCACGCCGGGCGCATGTGCGTGCGTGCCCAAGATCCCAAGAGGAGAATGGAGAAGGGATTGCGGCGTGACCATCCCCCCTGGGGGGTGATTTCTCGCTTTCTGTCTCTATGTCTCTCTCTGTCTGTCTGGCGAGCGCACGCAAAAAAAAAAAAAAACTCAAAAAAAAAAAAAAAAAAAAAAAGGAAAAGAAAAGAAAAATATGTAAAAGGAAAGAATAAAGTACTGATATTTGTAATTTTACCATTTCCTCTACCTTGGTCCATTAATAGCAAACTTGTATTAATATATGTAACTCAAATAAGACTAACAAAAAGGGGAAAGGAAACAGAGTAATATTTCATTTTATATATTACAAATTCTACTTTTGAGAAAATTGGTTAACAGTGAACTACATAATTTGGACTAACCAAAAAAAACTGAGAAAAGAAGCCTAGACAGAAAACAGTTTTAAAAAACTGTCTTAAGACACAAAAAGTCTAACAAATAGTGAAAAGTTACTAGCCAAGAGTCAGAAGAGGACAAAATTGTATAAAGGAGTTCTGCCTCATCTCTCCTTCCTGAAGATTGTTTTCTTTTGAGGGCATCTGGTGAGTCTGGATGGGTGGAGATTGGGCAAGTCGACACACACACTACACTAGGACAACTGGCATCCATGGTTTCCAAAGATATAGATTCCCCATATTTGGGGTTGGGCCCTTACGAGTAAGAAGAAACTGGAGTTCTGGCCCAATGCCCAGCGAAAAGCCAGAATCCATGTGCATCTAAGGTGGGCCTAGCCCTGCCTCTTTAACTGGTAAAAGCCTCTGCCCCAAAACGCTCCTTCAGGCCCAACACCCAGTGAAAAGCCAGGATATAGAAAGTAACTTATAATCCATCAGATGACCAGAAACCACCACTACAACGTCACAAGAAATATGGGAAATCAAGAAAATATCTCTCCCCCAAGGGGAAAGAACAACCCTTCATAATCCACAGACAGTACAATGGAACCTGTGAAAATGTCAGATAAAGAATTTAGGATATTCATAGTGACAGAGCTAACAGAGCCGCAAGATAAGAGACAACAAACTCCAGAAAATGCAGGAGAAAAGAGGCAGGAGGTGAGGAAGTTCTTCCACTATCTGAAAGAGGAAATACACACCATAAAAAGAATCAAATGAAACTGTCAGAGATGCAGGCTGTAATACAGAAAATTAAAACCTCCCTTGAAAGTATTAAAAGCAGAGTAGATCATGCAGAAGATCCAATCTCAGACGGAAAAGAGAAAACTTCTGACCTAGAAAATTTCACAATACTGAGAAAATGATTGCCCAAAAAAAGAGAATATATGAGTAATACTAGATACCATTAGACACCCAAACATCTGGATAATCAGTATTCCAGAAGGTGAAGAAACTAATCAGGGCATTGATAATCTATTCCATGAAATGCTGGAAGAAAACTTTCCAAACCTAGAGAGGCATTAAAATATCCAGACCCAAGAAATACCAAGGACCCCACAGAGAATCAGCCCAAGAAGATCTTCTCCAAGGCACATCATAGCCAGATTGACCAAAATCACAGACACAGATAAGATACTGAAACTGGCAAGAGAGGAGAGTTGAGGCCTTCCTTCAGAATAGGATTCCTCATGGCTCCTGCAAACTAGTCATTTCAGGGGACAGGAAAAATGAAGATTTTCTACTGATAATTCAGCCTCCAGAAAACAAAGCTAGCATGATTGAACTTCAAGAATTCGAAAGAAACACACCATCCATCAGATGACAAGAAATCACTGCAGGACCACAAGAAATATGGGAAAGCAAGAAAATACCTCTCCTCCAAGACAAAAGAATAACTCCTCT